TGGGATCTACGCTGCTGCCGGATCCGGCACAGCCTCCCAGGGCAGGGGGATGGGACCCCCACATAGGGGGGTCCTGTGGGAGCTGCCCTGGCTTTTACCCCCACCCCACCCACCCAGGGAGTCCCACTGGGGTCCCCGTGCTGGTGGCTGCACCCCAAACCTTCCCGGCACCAGGAGCAGGGTGGTGGGGAAAAGGGGGAGTGAACATTGGGAGACACCGACAGCAGTGGGGAGCCGATGGGAAGAAAAATAGGGCAGGGAAAATGGGGCAGGGTCCCCCAGCCACCCCACAAAACCTGGGAGGATGGGGGACAGGCAGCATCCCTGGCCCCAACCCTCCTCCCACGGAGACGCAGCATTGGGTCGGACGCGGGATTCGGCACCATCTGCAGAGAAGCAAACCCTGAAGCCATCTCTTCACTTGTTAAATAAACTTTAATTATTTTTGCATGGGGAAAGGTGAAAGGAAAATAAAATTTCTTCTGAGGATTAAAAGCAGCAGGCGGGGAGGAGCAGCCTGGCTCTTCTCTCCCCTCTCTTCCCAGAGGCCCTGGCGATGGGTGGGCACCCCGAGCTCGAGATGCTCAGCCGGCCTCGGCACCCGCAAGGTCCCTAAAGGCACAAGTGTCACTTTGCCCCCTCCCCGCGTGGCTGCCGTCACCTCCCCAGAGCAGGCCAGCTTGTGCAAAACCCCCATGTAAAAAAATACCCTTTTTTCAGTACCGAACATCCCTAAAAAACTAGAGCTTTAATCGATGTCAGTTATCCACTCCCTTGATTGGCAATGCTGATTTACACCCTGGAAAGCCACTGGGTTTCCCCCAGGAGGGGACGTACCCGCTTGGCACCAGGAGGGCAACTGGGAGCATCCCCCAGGAGCAGTGGGATAGCGTGAGCGGGGGCCGCACCTCCCTGTCCCCCTCGCTCAGCCCTGGGTGGGCAGAGGGTCCCTCGGTGGGGCAGGAGCACCCAACGCTGCGTCGCCCAGCACCGCCGGCTCCCTGGGGCCGGGCGCAGGACCAGCAACCTGGGCAGGGGGGGTCTCTTCTCTGCACCTCCCGCTGGCTCCTTCCCCTTGGCACTAGTCCGGCTGGCCGAGAAGCCAAGGGCAGCGTCGGGGTCGGTCCCCGGATGCTAAAGGCTTGGCTCCACGCTGGCCTCCGCCTCCAGCTTCCGCTGGTACCTCTGCCGGCGCTCGCAGCGGGGGCACGACTTGGCGCGGGCTTGGCAGTCCCGGTGGAAGACGGTTTTGCATTCACTGCACCTAGGAGACACCAAGGGGTGGGAAAAAAAATGAAATACTCACACTGTTGGTAACATCAGAGCAAAAACCGAACTTCTCGCCCCCAAACCAGACCTGGGGAGACTACCTCATCTTGGTTTCCTCCAAGCACTTGCTGAGCAAAGAGCCCTGGCCCCAGCAAGAGCCAGCCCTAGCTCAAAAGACCAACCTTGCTGGCAGGAGCAGTAACTACTCGAGCAAAAGATCCACCTCCGGCAAGCTCAGAGCAAAATCAGCAGCTCGCCCGGAAAGAGCATTGCAGGCAGCTGCCAGCTCGCTGCTGGGTTTTTTGCAGATGAAAGAGGGAGATGTTGAGCGAGTGAGGTTTGCACCTCACTTTTGGAGGGCTGACAGCCCAAACAGCAATGTGCCAAGGCTGAGACACCGAACCCTGCGATGGCGCAGGGTGGTGAGAGCCTGGCTGGGGATGCATCGCCCAGTGCCAGGGCAAGGACCCTCTGCTTGCCGGGGCTGGGGTGCAGCTGGGAGACCCCCAGCCCTGGCTGCCTGGGGACATGGGAGCCGCAGGGGAGGGGCCGGGCAGCCGGGGATGGGGGTGTCT